CCCCAAAAGGGGGCCCCTGAAGGCAAGGCTGTCTGAGGCGGCGCGGTGCGCGCGTGCAGGTGGAGCCCAAGCGTGGGTCTCAGCCCCCTCGGCGGGGGTCTACAGCCCCTTCGGCGGGGGGGGCGAGGGGGGCTGGGGCCCCTCTCGGCTCGTGCCGCTCCCGGAGTGAGCGCTTTCGGATGCCAAGTGGCGTCTGGAGGCGCGGGAACGAGGCCAGCGCTGCAGCGGAGCACGATTTTTAAATGACCGAAGCGCGGAAATGAGGGCGGCGCTGCAGCGGGAACGCCATCCTGGAAGAACCAGAAGCGACTGGATTGAAACAAAACATAGGAACAACAACAGATAATGGCGTCTTGTGTGCACACTGGGAGCGGAGAGGACGGGGCCCTCTCCGGACAGAGTCAGGGGAGAGAGCAGAGTAGTATTCATAAGCTACCATTGTGGAGGAGGATAGAGGAGGAGGAGGAGGAGAAGGAGAAGAAAGAGGAGGAGGACCAGAGCAATTTTGAGACTCATCAGCGATGTTGGCATACAACCCCTGAGGGAAGAGGAGGGAGGAGGAGGGAGGTGGACGAGGAGGCCAAGGACTAGGACTGGGACCAGGATGTGATGATGATGCTGATGATGATGATGGTTATGGTGATGGTGATGGTGACGGTGATGATGCTGCTGCTGATGATGACGATGATGTTGATGAGAATAATGATGATGGTGATGATGAGGATGCTGCTGATGATGCTTATAGTGATGATGGTGATCGTGATAGTGATGATGATGATGGTGATGCTGCTGCTGATGCTGATCACGGTATTGATGGTGATGATGATGATGATGCTGATGATGATGTTGATGATGATGCTAATGATGATGATGATGATGATGATGATGATGATGATGATGATGATGATGATGATGATGATGATGATGATGATGATGGTGGTGGTGGTGGTGATGATGATGATGGTGATGATGCTGATGCTGATGCTGATGATGATGATGATCCTGATGGTGATTGTGGTGGTGGTGATGATGGTGATGGTGATGATGATGGTGATGCTGCTGGTTTTGGTGCTGGTGATGATTCTGCTGCTGATGAAGATGATGGTGATGATGGTGATGCTTGTGGTGGTGGTGCTGATGATGCCTATGATTGTTATGAGGATGGTGATGAGGCTGTTGCTGATGATGGCGTAGCTGAGGATGAGGATGCGGGTGAGGATGCGGCTGATGATGGGTATGAAGATGTTGATTATGATGATCATGATGATGATGGGGAGGACGAGTATGACGGTGAATCAATCATGTTAATTACGATACTGATGATCATGCACATAATAATGATGATGGCAATGATGATGATGATGATGACGATGATGATGATGATGATGATGATGATGATGGTAATGATGATGCTGATGATGATGATGCTGCTGATGATGATGCTGACGGTGATGATGATGCTGATGATGATGATGATGATGGTGATGCCGATGGTGATGACGATAGAGATCTGATGGTGACGATGATGACGGCGGTAGTGATGATGGTCATTGTGATGAGGATGCGGATGTTGATGGAGAAGGAACATGAGGATGGCTATACGGAATATGGGGGATGACGATGGTGGCGACGACGGTGGCAGTGACGACGATGATGATGGTGACGATGATGATGATGATGATGATGATGATGATGATGATGATGATGATGATGATGATGCTTTTGATGATGAGGAGGAGGATGAGGATGAGGATGAGGATAAGGTTGATGATGAGGATGGTGATGATGATAATGATGATGGTGACGATGGTGATGATGATGTTGATGATGCTGCTGATGATGCTGATGTTGGTGATGCTGATGATTATGCTGCCGCTGATGATGATGCTGCTGCTGATGATGATGATGATGATGGTGATGGTGGTGAAGATGATGATGCTGGCGATAGGTGATTCGGAGGATGGTGTTGCTACTGATGATGATGATGAGGAGGAGGAGGAGGAGGAGAAGGAGGAGGAGGAGGAGGGAGGAGGAGGAGGAGAAGGAGGAGGAGGAGGAAGAGGAGGAGCAGGACCAGTAGGAGAGGAGGAGGAGGAGGAGGTGGAAGGGGGAGGAGGGAGGCGGAGGATCAGCGTCGAGGATGTGGAGGATGAGGATGAGGAGGCGCGGCGTCGAGAGTGGGGGGAGGAGGAGGAGTCAACGTCGACGCCCGCTCGCTCAATGTCCGCCCATCCAGCCACTGCTTCTCGCCCGACTTGCCCCACGGCTTACCCATGGCTGAAGCGGCCCGAGAGGTGAATCTGTCCACGGGTGTGTGTGTGTGTGTGTTTGTTCACGTCCGCGCCCTGACGTCCTGTTTGTGCCTGATATCGATTGTCACGTCTCTCTCTTGCCTGTCGCAAGCTGGTCAAATCCAGTTCCCAGCTGGCAGAGACAGCGTGCCTTCAGGGCGCCAGCTTTCAGCTTTTCCCGGAAAGGGCGCCGGCCCAGGGTTCTCTTTCAGTATTGCCACCCCCGGTTTCGATTTGAAGGAGGCCGGCGGAATTACTCTGCGACAAATGATGAGTTTGAAGGCGGCCGGCGGAATTATTCTTGAGGATGTCTCAGGCGAAACGCTTGTTTTTCATAATTTGTTGAGGATGTCTCGAGCGAAACGCTGGTTTTGCAGAGTTGGGGGATGTCTCGAGCGGGGGCCTCGTGGGGGGCCAGAATTCAGAGGATGTCTCAGGCGAAATGCTTGTTTTCACGTCCCGCTCGCAAGAATTCCGAGGATGTCTCGCGCGTGCCGCGTCCCGCGCGCTGGAATTTCGAGGATGTCTCGACAAATTCGTTTGTTTTTCCAGGATTTCCTTGGCCACACAGGGGGGTATCTAACATGTTCTGCCCGAGCTGGAACCACGTCGCTTCACGTACGTGTCCAGGGAACCCAGGTGAGTATCTAAAAGAGTGGTCCCGAGCTGGTACCACGTTTTCCCGTGTCCTGGCGTCACAGGAGGGTATCTAACATGGTGGTCCCGCGCTGGAGCCACGTGTTTTCACGTGTACAGGCCACCCAGGTGGGTATCTAACATGTTGGCCCCGAGCTGGAACCACGTGTTTCACCTGTCGAGGCCACCCAGGGGGTGTCTAAGATGGTGGTCCCGCGCTGGAACCACGTGTTTTCACGTGCCCAGGTCGCCCAGAGGGTGTATCTAACATTGTGGCCCCGCGCTGGAACCGCGTGTTTTCACATGTCCACGCCACCCAGGGGGGTATCTAACATGGTGGTCCTGAGCTGGAACCGCGTGCTTTTGCGTGTCCAAGCCAGCCATGAGGTATCTAACATGGTGGTCCCGAGATGGAACCACGTGTTTTCACGTGCCCAGGCCACCCAGGGGGTTTCTAACATGGTGGTCCCGCGCTGGAACCACGTGTTTTCACGTATGCAGGCCACCCAGGTGAGTATCTAACATGTTGGTTCTAACATGGTGGTCCCGAGCTGGAACCACGTGTTTTCACGTGTCCAGGCCACTCAGGGGGTATCTAACATGGGCCTCCTGGATCCTTCCTGGGACTCGGAACGGAACGTCGAGAGTCCATTCGCATTTGGTATCGATTCGTTTACTTTTTGGCCTCCAGGCGCCTCTGGGCGTTCCTGGGCCCTCCTGCGCTCCAGACGACCGCATGTTAGATTTTCCCTCTGGGTGGGCTGGACCACGTGTGTTTACGTGTGCAGGCCACCCATGGGGGTATCTAACATGGTGGTCCCGAGCTGGAACCATATGTTTTACGTGTCCAGGCCACCCATGGGGATATCTAACATGGTTGTCCCGAGCTTGAGCCACGTGCTTTTACATATCCAGGCCACCCAGGGGGTATCTAATATGATTGTTCTGAGCAAGGACCACGTGCTGTAACGAGTCCAGGCTATTCAGGGGTGTATATAGCATGGTCTCCCGAGCTGGCACCATGTGTTTTTAGGTGTCCAGGCCATCCAGGGGGATATCTAACATGATTGCCCCGAGCAAGGGCAACGCAATTTAACGTTCCGTAGCGCGTCCCCTCGGCACGTCCCGCGGTGCGTCCCCGTGGCACGTCCCCTGGCACGTCGCCTGGCGCGTCCCTTAGGACGTTCCGCGTCGCGTCCTCCTGGCATGTTCCCCTGTCAATGAGCTCTGGGGCAGCTACTATGTGCTGAGACAGCTCGAGCTTACGATCCAGATCAGTTCGGTCAGGACTCGGATGCAAAGGAGGACTCGATCCACAACGCTATAGAGCACAATCGCGGCATGACACATCGCAGTTCAGCACACCGCAGCACAGCACAGCCTTCGGCACGGTACATCAAGATCGGTACATTCAGCATTGCAACTTGGCACGTTCCGTGGCGCGTCCCGTGGCGAGTCCCCCTGGCACGTCGCGCGGCGCGTCCCCTGGTACGTCCCGTGGCACGTCCATTGGCACGTTCCGTAGCGCGTCCCCTCGGCACGTCCCGCGGTGCGTCCCCATGGCACGTCCCTTGGCATGTCGCCTGGCGCGTCCCTTGGGACGTTCCGCGGCGCGTCCTCCTGGCATGTTCCCCTGTCAATGAGCTCTGGGGCAGCTACTATGTGCTGAGGCTGCTCGAGCTTAAGATCCAGGTCAGTTCGTTCAGGACTGAAAGCAAAGGAGGACTCGATCCACAACGCTATAGAGCACAATCGGGGCATGACACATCGCAGTTCAGCACGGCGCTGCACAGCACAGCTTTCGGCACGGTACATCAAGATCGATGCATTTAGCATTGCGTTTGCCCGTCGCCCAATCAGGTGTCTTTGAAACGTTGTCATGCCTTACATGTCTATATTCCTTTCCGGGTTCGTGGGCCGATCATGTTTCGAAGGCGTTGGGGATCGCACCTGCGGGGGGACGCCCAGCTCATCTCCTCCTCTCCTCCTAAGCCCCTGCATCTCATCCACCTCCTAAGCGACGACGACGGTGGCGACGACGACCACGATCCTGGTCGCGCGACGTGGGCGGAGGTGCTTCTAAACGCAGTCATTATCCTGGCCCTGCTCACGGGGGTGATCACCGAGCACATGATGCAGGTTCGTCTTGCCTTCCCCCGGTCCTTTCCCTTCCCCTTCCCCTCGTGGTCCTCCTCATCGTGGTCCTCCTCCTCCTCCTCCTCCTCCTCCTCCTCCCCGTGCCGACGGGAGGCTGCAGCCCTGGGGGGGAGACTGCGGTGGACGCACGGGGCGCCTGTAAGGGGGCTTGTTTGCCAAGCCCCCGATGAGCACCACCGCATTGCCCCCCTGGGCTAGGCCCCACTGGGCGACACAGGCATAATTCGGGCCTTGGAAGGCCTGCCCTTGCACGCCCCCTACCCCGCCTTCCCTCCCTGCCATCCTCCCCTTCATCAGCACATCTCTCTCTCCCTCTCTCTCTCTCTCTCTCTTCTCTCGCCCGCTCTCCCCCCACCCGAATTCTGGCCCGCTCCACTTCTCCTCTTTCCCACCTTACATGGTCGGCAATGCCACCAGTGTGTCCTCGAGCTGAGGGGTACGGCTCTTGGAGTAGGTGGCCCCAGGGCCGGAGGGGGTACAGTAAGGGTGCAGCCCGATGGTGGGCTGGGGCGAGTACCACTCCCCAGCCACGCCAAAATTAATAGGGATGGGCCTGTGTCCCAGCGTGGGCGGGGGCCAACTCCAATCCCCAGCCGCGCCTGAGGGCGTCAGAGTAGGATTGTACCCCTCTCCCAGGCAGCCCCCTTACCCCCCCTCTCTTCTCTCGCCCACTACCCCCCCCCTCCCCAATTCTGGCCCGCTCCACCCCCTCCTCTCACCCATCTTACATGGTAAGCATTGCCGCCAGCGTGTCCCCGAGCTGACGGTACAGCTCTTGGAGTAGGTGGCCCCAGGGCCGGCCAGATGGGGGTACAGTAAGTTTGGATCCATTTCCCAGTCACGCCAGAGGGGTAGAGCAAGGCATGGTTATTATTTGATGCTGGTTGCACAGAGTATGGTAAAGATGCTTAACGCTCTAGGCATCTTAATTGTCTCCCTGGCTGTATAGGCTGGCGCCTTTCGCACTGGAGCTCTGCCAGGACTGTGGGCTACGGCTATGCTTCGCATACCCATCTAGCCTGCGGTCCGTTGTTTCGGCTGGTCCGGCTCAACCAACAAGGCTGGAGTTCTGGCAGAAAGCCGCATTAGGCAGGAAAGTCCGCCTTGGAACTCTGCCAGGACTGTGGGCTACGGCTATGCTGCGCATACCCATCTAGTCTGCGGTCCGTTGTTTCGGCTGGCCCGACTCAACAAATAAGGCTGGAGTTCTGGCGGCAAGCAGCACCTGGTAGGTAAGACTAGCGCCGTCCGCACTGGAACTCTCCTAGGACTGTGGACTACGGCTATGCTGCGCATACCCATCTAGCCTGTGGTCCGTTGTTTCGGCTTGCCCGACTCAACACATAAGCCATGAGTTCTGGTAGCACGCCGCACTAGGTAGGCAAGATATTGGGAACTCTGTTCTTGCGCCATTCTGGAGCCTTCCCAACGGGGCCCCCACGGGTGCTACAACGGACCCCCTCCTTGTAGCACCCGTCGGGTGCCCTTTATGAGCTCTTCTGCGGCCCCTGTTGGCTTGTGTTTGAGCCGTCTTGGGGGGTCTCTTGGGACTCTCTTGGGACTCTCTTGGGAGCTGTGGGGCGCCCTGGGGCCCTCTTGCGCGATTCTGGAGCCTTCCCAACGAGGCCCCCGCGGGTGCTACAACGCACCCCCCTTTTGTAGCACCCGTCGGGTGCCCTTTCTATGAGCTCTTCTGAGGCCCCTGTTGCTTGACACGCTCGCGCCTGACACCTCGCAGGGCAGCCTTCCGCAGTCCAGCTTGCCGTGCTCCCTGATGTCCTGGGCGGCGGGAAGGGAGGCGGCCGCCTCCGGCGCGGCCTGGCGGGGGGCCAGGCGTCCGCGCTCACCACCTCCTCGCTGGTCGCAGGGCCACGGGGGTTGGCGAGGGAGGGTCCCCCTACAGGGCAGGCTCGTCCCTCAACCACGGGGTGGGGTCTTTCGGCATACCCGGCCCGGCCTGTCAACACTAGGGGGACCCATTCAGGCTGGGTCCAGATTGCTAAGGCGGCTACTGCGACCGCCGCAGCTTAGGTGCCTCAAGCTTTCTTGTGTTAGTCCGGTTACACCGCCTTCACTTGCCGACGCCCGATGTCGGCCTACGGCGCCCCAGAGGAGGAAAACAACCCAACCAAGGTCGCCTTTATGCGGGGGGGGTGCGCGGCCTACCTTAGGTGTGTAGGGCAACGCACCGCACAGTAATCCAACTCCCAGGCGCTGGGCCACTGGGTGCCTGTTCGGGGGGGGGGGGGGCTAGGCGTAGGTGTTCTGTTTCGGTCCTCCGTATTTGGCTGGGGGATTGAAGACGACGAGGGGCAGCAACAGCAACAGTAGCGGAGGATGGGAAGAGGGAGCATGGCGTGGGAAGGCCGGACGGCGAGCGTCGGGAGAGCCCGCGCTGCCCCCGTCCTGTTTTCCGTGGTCTCTCGCACGCAGCGCTGGCTCACCCGCCAGACCGCTGTCGGCGCGCCCGAAAGCGACCGGGGGCCGCCTGCGCCGTCCGGCGGGGCGGCTGCGGCGGGGCAGCGGTGGCGGGGCCCAGCGCGCACCTCCAGCAGGGGCAAGCTGGAGGGGGCTGGCGCGAGCCTCCTCCCGTGGCGCTGGGCGGCCGGGGCTGCGCCGGGCTGGCTCCGCTGCTTCAGCGCGTTGGGCGCCGAACCCAGCCGGGGGGGGGGGCCAATGACGCCCCGGGGGAACCCGTCCTTCAGAACTGTGTAGCAGCATGCGGCCTCCCAAGGGGGGAGATAGTGCTGTTTAGGGCGGTCTTGGGGCTCTCTTGGAGCTATTTGGGGAGTCTCGGTGCCCTCTTGCGCCATTCTGGAGCCTTCCCAACGGGGCCCCCACGGGTGCTACAACGGACCCCCTCCTTGTAGCACCCGTCGGGTGCCCTTTATGAGCTCTTCTGCGGCCCCTGTTGGCTTGTGTTTGAGCCGTCTTGGGGGGTCTCTTGGGGCTCTCTTGGGAGCTGCGGGGCGCCCTGGGGCCCTCTTGCGCGATTCTGGAGCCTTCCCAACGAGGCCCCCGCGGGTGCTACAACGCACCCCCCTTTTGTAGCACCCGTCGGGTGCCCTTTATGAGCTCTTCTGAGGCCCCTGTTGCTTGACACGCTCGCGCCTGCCACCTCGCAGGGCAGCCTCCCGCAGTCCAGCTTGCCGTGCTCCCTGATGTCCTGGGCGGCGGAAGGGAGGCGGCCGCCTCCGGCGCGGCCTGGCGGGGGGCCAGGCGTCCGCGCTCACCACCTCCTCGCTGGTCGCAGGGCCACGGGGGTTGGCGACGGAGGGTCCCCCGCGGCCCCGCGTCGGCGGCTGGGTGCGGCAGCGGTGCCGCCGATGGCACCGCGGCGTGCGGAGCCCCGGCTGAGGGGCTGGCCGATCCGATCCGCGATCGATCGCCCCCGCAACCCCCCCTTGACTGCTCCTCCGCCTCCCCCGCCACAGGGCCGGGAACCCGAGCCGGCGTTCGATGTGGGGCTGCTAGCCAGGGCGGGTCTTCGTTAGCATCCCCCGCAAACAGGCTGCGAGTTGGGGTCTCCCCAAGCAATGGGCTCCCCCATTGGCAATCCCAAGTGCGGCCAACGGCCCCGAGGGACTGCCCAATGGTGGCCCGCTCGCAGTCCTGGCAGTTTGGTCAGTGATCCTCCTCCTCCTCCTCCTCCTCCTCCTCTCCCCCACCCTCTCCCATCTGACATTTATCCGTAAGGGCTTCGCCCTCTGCCGCCGCCCCCCTCTCTATCATAATGGAATACAGCAGAGTCGCGTCGGTGCGTTTCGGCGCTGCCTTGGCGCATCTGGGAACTACATGCGGTGGCGGATAGGAATTATCAGCGCATATTGAAATGTTGGCGTCATCGAAGACGCCTACGGCGAATCACCGCCGCCCCCTGCCTTTTTGGAAGCGCCTGCGTGGCCGAAAGTTGGGTTTGAGCTTGGCCAAGCCATCGGGCCCCGAGTTCCCCGAGTGGGTTTCGAAAGCCTTCGGGGAACCCGGAGTTGGGCGAGATATCGGACCAGGTGGTTTCCGAACTTTCGGGCCTCCTGAAGGACGCCTTGAAGGGGTCTTGAGTCGTCTTGGATGCCTCTGGCGGGCCTTTTGGGCAGTCTAAGGCCATCTTCAGGCCATCTGGGGCCGTCTTGGGTGCATATTGGGGCCATTTTCGCCGTCTTGGAGGCTGGAGGCCATCTTGGCCGTTTTGGAGACCATCTTGAGCGTCTTGGGGGCCTCTTGGGCCGTCTTGGGGTCTTGTTGGGGCCCTCTTGGGGGCCTCTTGGCTTGTCATGGGGCCATCTTGGAGGCTTCTTGGGCGCTCTTGGGGCGATGTTGGGGGCCTCTTGGGCCGTCTGGGGCCGTCGGAGAGCTGAAAAGAAGAAAATGCCATCATACTTCAAAAACCAAAGGACAATTATCAATTCTGACCTCTTCGGGCTCTCGTGGAGGATCTCTTGGAGGCCTCTTGGGCCGTCTTGGGGGCCTCTTGGAGGCCTCTTGGGCCGTCTTGGGCCGTCTGAGAGGTTTGTTGTGCGAACTTGGAGGCATCTTGGACTCTCCTGGGCCGTCTTGGAGGCCATCTGGGACCATCGTGGGCGAACCTGAAGGCCATCTTGGCCATCTTGAAAGCCATCTTGGAGCCATCTGGAGCAGGAGAACTTTTGGAACCACCGTTTCTGGGCCATTCCGGGACCCCAGCGAGCGGGGCCGAAACCCCAGGGGGAGTTCTATTGGAAAAAGAACCAAAACCAAAAGCGAAAGGATTCAGCACGCCGGGCACCCTTGTGATGAATCAGCAGGGGGCAGCGGATCGAAGACGCCTACGGCGAATCACCGCCGCCCCCTGCCTTTTTGGAAGCGCCTATGTGGCTGAACGTTGAGGCCAGACCTGCCAAGCTATCAGACCATGTGTTCCCCGAGTCGGTTTGGAAAGCCTTCGGGGAACACGTGGGCATCTTGAAGGTCATCTTGGCCGTCTGGAGGCCATTTTGACCCTTTCG